GTTTTTAAAAAACTTAAAAAAAAATTAAACCATTACTGTTTGTTATTTTCTTTATTTTTTCTTATATGCATTTCGATCTTCTGATTCTAATCAGTAGATTCATAAGACAGGGTTTACCTTACAAACAAATTAATATCTCAAAACCATTTAACAAAGTATTTTTTAAAAATATATTATTTAACCTTTTACCTTATGTAATTTTTAGATTTTATTTTTTTTCATTTTTTGTAATTGTGTTACTAAACACAATTCAAAATTTTAATAAAAATATTTTCTATAAAGTTTTATTTTATACATCGAAATTATATACACTTCTATGTCATTAATTATAAAAGATATACATTTATCAATAAATTACATTAAAACAAATGTGACCAGCAGTAAATGAAGGCAGAAAATTATACAAACTTACTATTTCGCTAACACTAAAAAATGAAGAGTGTAAATTATTTGTATATGTGTCGTAAAACTTGAAATTCTCTTTTTTCACTTGAAAAATTGGGAACGAAGCAAATGAAGTTTATTTTCGCATTTCTCAGAAACAAATATTTTTAATAGCTCTTGCAACATCGTTCATTTCGTGTGTGGATAAAGACGTTTCTGTTGTGAGTATAAAAAAAACAAGTTTGAAATTGTACTTAATTTCCATAACAACAGTGGCTGTAAACAATGCGTGGTAAACAATACATAGGATTTACATTCCAAACAGTAAAACTCTTGTTTATTCCGAGATAACTCGAAAATGAAAGTATTTTCTCTGTTGGTCTTTGTTTTTGAATGTTTCAATTATATTTCTTCGAAAGAAGTTGACTATTAGAAATATTTAATGTATTACAAATTTATTTTTTTAAATTAAATTAATCTTAATGTTTAATTTTTTACAATTTCATTTCAATTCCTCTTATTAATTTTTGTTACTGAAAACTTTTATTTGCTTCAGTAGTTTCTTTAAAGAAAAATCGATGACTTCTGGAAAGATATAGAGCAGGGTTGCCGAACTTTTTTAAGTTAACTTAGCTTTAGCGGTGTTTACGCGTGCAAAAATTTTAAATTTCATATAATGATGTTTAAAAAATTAAACGAATATGCTTTAATTACAATAATTGTAAATATGCTGATAGTAAAAAGAATGATCGAGTTATAAACCAAAAAATTTATTGAAAACCACAATGATATGTCGAAATCGTATAATGCGTTATCTGCTTAATAATTTCATGTTACGTGCCAGTTTGGGCACGCATGCCATAGGTTCATTACACCTATAGATACAAAATTTAATATACTTAAAAAGTAGTTATGAAGTACAAAGGACTTGGCAAAATATAAGGTTTATGTAACACATTTAAACGGTAACATTTTTACAATTCGTCATTTAGAAAAAGTAAAGCATTTTAGTTCAGTAATAAGAAAAGAGAATATAATACAAAAAAACAAATGCAATTAGTTTTTGAGCTCAGAATTATACAGAGAAAAATATATATACCCGAAACTTAGATAATTGTGATTAATTTATTATATTTATGATATTATTAATAAAAAAAAAGATTATTTAATGTTAGTTCAATGTAACTGATTTATGGCACGAACACAATTATTACAATTTCGTTTCTACCACTTTTATTTTGTTTTGCAAATAAATGTAATTATATTGCCTGGAAATATGAGTAATGTAAGAATAAAATATGAAAGTGTCAATTGCTTAAATTGCTGTTGTATAAAATACAAATTTAAACAGCTGTTTTTTATAAAACTCAAACAGAAGTATCGGTTAGCTCTGAATGTTGTAACCTAATTACTTTATTTGATTCTATTTAAACATTATTTATAAAATTCATTGCCTTGAAATCTTTTGCAGTTTCTTGTATATTGACGTAAACTATAAATTTCGTTAAAGCATTAGACATCTTCACATATACCATTAAGTAAAATCGACATGAACATGAAAACAAAATTATAAACGCAAATTAACAATTTTAACATTTATTTTAGTTTCTCGAGAGCACTTTTGCAAAGTGTTAATACATTTATGTATTGTAATTACCTGTAATATCTGTATAAAATATTTAAACACAATTTTTACTGTATTCTCTTTTTTGAACATTTATCATCTATAGAAATTTATGTATACAGTATTTTGCTTATTGATTATATAAGTTCATTTATGAAACTAATAATATATAAATTTAAAAAAGTTTAAAATATATAAACTTCTGTAAAATTCATGTTATATATCAGGAGTGGCCAATCTGCGGCTCGCGAGCCATAGGCGACTCTTTGTAGGATTATTTGTAGCTCTCGATAAATGTACCCAAGTTCCCTTTTCATTTTTGGGTTATTATATTTTAAAAAATTATTATCGTTCCATATGTGTTTCAAAATGTTTTTTAAATTACTAACAACAAATTTGAAAGACTAAGTGCAACGTTGTAACAAATTTCATTTCCGTCCAAGTTAAGAATGATATGACCCATGGAAAACTGCGCGAACGAACATAAACAGTGGCGTAATCGTCCGTTATCGACCGACTCCAGACCGATTTTGAATTTGTAAACTGTCATTGCAACGGACAGTTGACATTGTGCTCCGGAGGAAACAATTTGTATCACTCTTGCTACGGATATAATTTGTAATCTGGAATTTTTTGCATGCCTTTTTAATACGTATTTAATTGCGGCTCGCAAAAAATTTCAAATTTTGAAAAATGGCTCGGATTATCAAGGAGCTTGGCCACCCTGGTTATATATGTTATATAACATAGATTGTCATATATGTTGGATGACGCTCGGTTGATCGTATGGATAAGATGCTACAAAATGTGCTCTGTGATTATTTTGTGTTTTTTGCGTTAATTTAAGTCGGAGGTTATTATATTTAGTGTTTTCGTATATCGGAGGACAAGGGGATCGACATAACGTCAAGTAGGACTTCTAAATTCCACCCCTATTTAAAATTTTGCTTAAAACAGTAATCTTCGGTTATCCGGATATTACGATTTCGATTTACCGGATTCCATTATCGGATTCTATCCGGGACCTCTATAGAACACTTGTCACCAAAATTTGAAGTTCTAGACCTGTTATTTACTGACTTTTTACAGCTACATTCGGTCGGCGGTGGAACGCGAGTTTTAGGCTTCCGGTTGGTCCTATCGAAATAATTTTCAGGTATTTCTTTTAGCACTATCTAAGTAATTTTTTCTTAAAATTTGTTCTAAATCGGACAGATAGAATTTAAACTATAGCGATTCTTAAACTGAGTTCTAAAATCAGCTTTCCACTGAACGTTGGTTGCCATGGCGAAAGTCATTGACTACTCCAGCTAATTGCACGGTTCTTTCGCTTTTTCACGATCATTTCTTATTTATTATAGTACTCATTATATATTTTTGGAATCGGAGCTAACGATATATATGTTCTAAATCATTATAACCGGAAGTTTAAACTTTTCTGGTTTAAATTTTATTAAATATATAGACTGTCATATGTTTCTGAAATTATTTTTTGCAGTTTAATTACTTATTCATTAGTAGTGTTCTAGTTATTAGTAATTTACTTTATTTATTCAAAAATTAGTTTTACGAGTACATTATATACTGAGTCATGATGGAAGAATTTAGTTGTTCTCTAGTTAAAAAACATTTAAACGACGAAGAGGAAGATGTCGGTCTCTCCCAAATTCTTTCTGTTAAAAACGTAATCATTAAATACATGGAAGAATATGCTAGCTCCAAATTAGGATCGAAAATCCATGTTCAATTTATAACAGAAAGTCTCGAAAAAATAGTAGAAATATATAAAGATAATAGAATAAAAATTGACGGCCGAATAAACGAAATCAATAGTAAAATAGATAAATTACTGAGTAATACCGAAAAGAATGAACAGTTTATAACATATGCAGACAAAGTAAAGGAAGAGAAACAGCATCAAAAAGACGGTAAGGCGGTAGTAATAATAAACCATAAAGATAATAACGTTGAATCAGAAGAAATTAAGAATAAGGCAAAGAATATTATAGACCCTGTTAAAATTGGGGTTAGAATAAAAAATGTCCGCAAATTACGAAATTAGGCAATTCTAGTAGATGTAGAAAATATTAATCAAAGCGAAAGACTGATAAAAGAAATAGATAAAATAGAAGATTTGGTTGCTAAAAAACCAAAAAAGATAATGCCTAAAAATATGTATATATAACATCCCAAAAGAAATAGGAAAAGAAGACTTAATTGACAAAATGTATAAACAGAATGATTATATTACTACAGAGTACATTGATATAGAAGATTACACTAAAGATATCAAGGTAAAATATAAATGGGGAAAGGCAGATGACGTTAAACATTGGATATGTGAGGTTTCCCCTAAATTAAGACTACTACTATTAAAATAGAAAAAGGTAAATCTGGGATGGGTTAAATGTACATTAAAAGAATATTTTAGCATACTGCAATGCTACAAATGCTGTAAATATGGGCATACAGCCCACGAATGTCGCATTGATCGTAATTACTGTACACACTGTGCTGGAGATCATAGGTTTAACGAATGCAAAAATAAAGATAATATTTCTAACTGTATAAACTGTATTAAATCAAAACAAAAAACCTTCACCCATAAAGCAATAAGCGATGAATGCCATGAAAGACAAAAGATTATTAATAATATTACAGCTAAAATAAATTATGGAAATTGATAACTTAATAAATCTTCCATATTCCGAAACCGTGTTGTATCTTTATATCTGTTTAAAAACTGCAATGTACCACAGTAATCAACACATGGCATGACTCATTCATTTATTCTAGCTTTTGTTGAGATGCTTTTCTATACATGTTTCGGGCTCCGTTTTTGCCCCTTCTCAGTCAACTAAAACATATAAAATCCAATTATATACATATTATAACCCGACATATGAATTAAAACCGCAAAAATAAAAGTATATTTCTTTGGTATATACAAGTAAGACGCAATATACCATTTTAAAAAAAATTTCTTCTCTGTATGTATTTTTTTCCCGAACGGGAATCTTACTCTATATACTTGATTATTTCAGATACCAGGTTGAATATTTAATCTCACTTCTTCACGCTTCAGACATAGACTGTCTTATTTAAATTCTACTATACTTTGAAGACTATAAAAAACAACACCATTAGTGTACTCAACATGTAGGTATTAACAATATACAGGATTTTTTCTCTTACATACTTAGTCACAGTAGAGTTCTTGAGGTGTCACAAAGGATTATGATGGACATGTGGTAAAGTTCTTCTTTTTCTTTATGTTCTTTATAATTATTCTGTCCTTATCTTCTTTGTATCTTATTCGTTAGTGTTGGAATATTAATACCATTTTATGTACAATTAATATTAAGGTTTCTTTCTATTAATAGTTTACTATTATAACATAAAGGTAAATAGTTCTTACCTAAACAAGTTTGCCACACTTCGCATATTTTAGTTGCTCTATTTTTTCACTGTTGTTTGTATCTCCATACTTTCCTCTGAAAAATTTTTTCGTATAAAAATACCTCAGAAGAACTTAGTTTTCAGTTGAACCTGAGTATTAGACTACATTCCAAATTTATCCTTACATACTTGTTTACTTAGGTTTTCTTAATTATCTGGAAGAGCCTCTAATGAGCTTCTAGTACATTTTTCCTTCTTTAATATTTATATCGATACTAATTCATATAAATTTTATATTATTAAACTTGTCATTTTTATCAACTCTTTATATTTATGTATTATTATTAATAATCCTTACCGAAGTAACTAGACTTCGCTTCCTTAATTCCATTCTTTCAACTCTTCGATTCTAGAGGCGTTTCCATTCTATGATGATTTACATAACTATATGGTTTCCGGTAGACAAGATTTAATTATGTTACTTATTTCTTTTAAATACTATTCCAAAGTATTCTAAATTTTTTCTTTTTCTTTCCCAAAAATTCTCCTTTTTTAAATAATTTTTCTTTCTAAATTCTTTTACACTATTTTTAGCCAATTCTCGTTAATTTTTAAACTTAAGTTTTTATTTATACAATGTCTATTTTTTATAATTTCTATACTCTCTTTAAATTTTCTATGATAAGTTTTTTTTTCTTTATGTAGGATTTTTACATTGTTTTGGTCAATATTACAATTATTCAACGTGCAATGTTCGAGAAAAACTGAATTAATTCTATTATGTTTTAGATCTGCTACGTGTTCTTTTAGTCTAACTTCCATTTTTCTCTTTGTTTCTCCTATGTAATATTTTTTATTTTCGCATGTACATGGAATTTGCTATACTACGTTTTTTGTATCTTTCAGTTGTTGTCTTCCTGTTGATCTAGTTATATTATTATTATTTAATCTGGCAAAAAAATTTTTATATTTCGGGGCATGTTTTACATTAGTATGTCTTATTTCTTTATTAATTTTTTCATATAAACCTTTAATATAAGGAAATGGAATATATTTCATTTTATTTTCATTTGAATTCTTTCCATTATCTATTCCATTCTTTTCAGGATTCTTTTTATTGTTTACGTTGTTGATTTTTTTTTTCCAGTTTGTAAGTAATCTATTGGAGTATCCATTTAACAAGAATTTTTGCTTCAAATTTTTAATATCATTATCTATGTCCATACATTTACTAGTTCTATTTTTTATCTTATTATATTCCATAGAAAATATATTCTGCTTTATATATAGTGGTATATTTGAATTATATTTCACTGTTGTTTGCATTAAACTTGACTTTTTGAAAGTCTTAAATTCAAGTTCATTCTTTTTTTTNTTTTAAGTAGTCTATTAGGATATCTATTTAACGGGATTTTTAAGTCTTTAATATTATTATGTATGTCTATACTTTTACTGGTTCTATTTTTAATTTTATTATATTCCATGGAAAATATATTTTGTTTTATGTATAGTGGTATATTTGAATTATATTTCACTGTTGTTTGCATTGAACTTGACTTTTTGAAAGTCTTAAATTCAAGTTCATTCTTTTTTCTTATTATTGTAATATCTAAGTAATTTATCTTTTGATTAATTTCTGTTTCTGTTGTAAATTGTATCGTTTTTGTTATTTTGTTTATTACGTCTTTTATTTGTTCTAATGTAACTTGCGTTTCCTTATACAAAACAAAAATATCATCTACATATCTCCTACAAAAGTATATTCCTGGTATCTTACTAATATAATCGTCTATATCTATCATCACAAGTTCGGCTAGTTTTGGACCAATCACAGAGCCCATACTAATGCCTTCTGTTTGTGTAAAGTATCTTTCCTTAATTTCAAAATAATTGCTTCTATATGCAAACTCTATTAAATCTATAATTTCTGGTTCTATATTTATCTGTATTAGTTTGTTTTCTATCATTTCCCAGGTTATTGATGGATACATGTTAACAATGTCGAGACTGGCCATTCTTAGCGTTTCATCAACATTTAAGTTTTTTATATCACTTATAAATTCATCCGTGTTACGTATAGCAATTTTGGAATTTTTGTACTTTTGCAAACAATTTTTTAGAAATTTTTCCAAATTGTAGAATGTAGAGTATTTAAAGTCAATAATAGGCCTTATCTTTTCTCCTTCTTTATGTGTTTTTAATTGAACTTTCAACTTAGGTATTCTTTCGTTGTTTTCATTTAGAATGAACCATTTTTCATTATTATTTATCTTTTTTAATTTTTGTAATTTTATAATACGATTCTTCATTTCTTTGTATATAACTTCTGTTGGGTTTATCAGTAATTCACGAAATTGATTATTTGTAATAACTTCTAATTTCTTTGCTTCTGCCCATTTTTCTGGAACTATAACAATTTCTTTTGATTTGTCAGCTTTTATAATCTCTATGTTATTTCTTTTCAAAAAATCGTATACTTTATTAATCTGTTGTTTATATTTAAAGTAGTTTTTATCTCTAATAATTGTTTTTTTCTTTTCTTTTTTAATATAATTTTTAATATTATTACTAATGTTTATTTTTATAATATTTGACTCGTTCTCTGGTATATTGTTACACATGTAGTCCAAATTCGGTAGTATATCTATTAACCTCCATTGGTTTGGGCCATTAAAATCTAGGCCTGTACTTAACGTATTGAGTATGTCTTCTGGTATCATTACTTCTGTTTTATTCAAAACTAACGATTT